ATTTTAGACATGATACATGTAATCATTGCATGATAAAAATGGCCAGCTAACCATAAAAATGACCAACCAGCCACCAACAAAAATGTAGAACATTATTGTAGCTGACTTCTATAGGTGTGCTGGGGGTTCCTCCTTCCCAGGTGGAGTACCTTACATTTATCTTTATTAAATTGCATCCTATTTCTCTCTGCCCATTGATCCAACCTGTCCAGGTCAGCCTGAATCTGCTCCCTGCCCTACTAACTTTGCCCCATAACTTGGTATCATCAGCGAACTTGGAAAGGGTGCTCTTCACGCCCTCGTCCAAATCGCTGATGAAGATATTAAATAATATTGGTCCGAGGACCGAACCCTGCTGGACCACACTGCCCACCTCCCTCCAGGCCAAGAAGGAACCATCCACCACCACTCTTTGTGTACGGTCCCTAAGCCAGTTGGCCACCCACCTGACCGTGTAGGTGTCCACTCCACAGTCTGCTAGCTTCCCAATTAGGATAGGGTGCGAAACTGTGTCGAAGGCCTTCCTAAAGTCCACGAAGACGACATCAGCCTTGGCTCCTGTGTCCAGGCAGTGTGTGACCTGGTCATAGAAGGCTACAAGGTTTGTCAGGCAGGATCTACCTGTGACAAACCCGTGCTGGTTTCCCCTCAGCATCGTTTCGCCTGCTGGGCCTGCGCAAATGTGTTCTTTGATTATAATCTTCCAGACAACTTCTGGGTGCAAGTGCTGGAGCGGCCAAGTAGAGCTGTGCTCTTCTTGACCTGCTGTTCACAAACAAGGAAGAATTGGTGGGGAATGTAGTAGTAGATGGCAACTTGGGAAGCAGCAACCATGAGATGATTGAGTTAATGATCTGGAGGAAAGGAAGAATAGAGAGCAGCAGAGTAAGGACCCTGGACTTCAGCAAAAGCAAACTTTAACTCACTCAGGTAACTGATGGGCAGGATCCCCCGGGAGGCCAGTCTGAGGGGGAGCAGAGTCTAGGAGAGCTGGCTGTATTTTAAAGAAACTTTACTGAGGGTGCAGGAACAAACCATTGTGATGCACAGGAAAACTAGCAAGTATGGTAGAAGACCAGCTTAGCTTAGCAGGGAACTCTTCAGTGAGCTAAGACACAAAAAGGAAGTTTACAAGAAGTGGAAGCTTGGGCAAACAACTAGGGAGGAGTATTGCTTGAACATGCAGGGATGAAGTCAGGAAAGCCAAAGCACAATTGGAGTTGCAGCTAGAGTTAGTAAGAGACATAAAAAGTAATAAGAAGGGTTTCTACAAGTATGTCAGCAACAACAGGAAGATCAAGGAAAGTGTGGGTACTGAATGGGGGAGGCAACCTGCAGTGACAGATGATGCAAAAAAGCCTGAAGCACTCAATGCCTTTTTTTACCTCAGTCTTCACAGGCAAAGTCAGCTCCCAGACTACTGCACCTGGCAGCACAGTATGAGGAGAAGAGCAGCTAACAGTGGCAAAAGAACAGGTTAGGGACTATTAGAAAAGCTGGACATGTACATCCATGTACCGGTACAGGCTGGGAAACAATTGGTTAAGCAGCAGCTCTGTAGAAAGGAACCTGGGGGTAACAGCTGAATATGAGCCAACAGTGTGTCCTTGTTGCAAAGAAGGCTAATAGCATACTGGGCTTCATTCATAGGAGTGTTGCCAGCAGATCAAGGGAAGTGATTCTTCCCCTCTATTCAGCACTGGTGAAGCCACATCTGGAGTACTTTGTCCATAGTCCCCCACTGCAGAAAGGATGCAGAGAAGAAGAGTCTAGTGAAGGGCAATGAAAATGGTTAGGGGGCTGGGGCACATGACTTTTGAGGACAGGCTGAGGGAACTGGCTTATTAAGTTGAGAGAAGAGAAGACTGAGAGGCGATTTAATAGCAGCCTTCAACAACCAAACAGTTGGAGCTAGCGTGGTTCCAAAGAGGAAGGTGCTAGCCTGTTCTCAGTGGTGGCAGATAATAGAGCAAGGAGCAATGCTCTCAAGTTGCAGCAAGGGAAGTTTAGGTTAGATATCAGGAATATCTTTCTCACTAGGAGGGTAGTAAAACACTGGAAGAGTTTATGCAAAGAGGTTGTGGAATCTCCATCCCTGGAGGTTTTTAAGATCTGGCTAGACAAAGTCTTGGGTGGGATGATATAGATGGGGACAGTCCTGAGGCCTCTTCCAACCCTAATTTTCTATTATTCTATGATTCTATCTTTTAAGGAGTTAAGTGGAGTGGAAGGGACTATGACTTTTCTGTTGCAGTGAACTCCAGCCACAAAGCACTCCACTGAGCTGGATTAAAAATCCATGTGAGAGTAGGAAGCCAAGGGGCCGATATGAAAGCAAGGCAGCCCAGAGTGACAGGCCAGGCAGGGAGGTTTTCTGGGTCTGTGCTCAGATGCATACCCACCCAGGTTTGCCCAGGGTTGGACTCCCGAAGAGCCATGATTGAGTTTGCAATAAAGCTTCATGAAAATGGGAGTTATGTGTTGGCTGTTTTAGGATGCTAGGAAAGACCCTAGGGATTAAGTGGTTGAGAAATGATAGTTAATATGCTCTGTTCGTACCTGATTTGGAAGTTGACAAGACAGCCAAGGAATGTAGGGAATAGATTAAAATGCTAATGATGTGATATGTAAGAAAAAAGGACTAATATTTATCAGTGTACATCTGTGTGTTATTCCCTGATTGGATGTTTTAAAGAAGAATGTATTTATAAGGTTGCACGTTTTCAAGAAAACTTTGGATTTGTGTATCCTGGCATTTATCCCTTATGTCAGTTGGGCTAAGCAGTAGGGCTGTGTGAAGCTTTGGGTGGTGATTCAATTCGGAGGAGATTCGACCCGATTCGAACCTCTGAATCTGGGGACCAATTTAAAGATCCAAATCGATTCAAAGATCTCCAAATCTTTGGCAAAAATGGAGAGCTTGGATGATTTGGGCAGCCCCGGGTGGCTGCAGCGGGGAGCTGCAGCCACTCTGAGCTGATAAGTACTAGGGGTGGGGCAGGAGAGGCTGGGGGAGGGGAGAGCATGGGGGGGACACCTGCCAGCCCCTCCTGACCCCCCCAGCCTCCCCGACCCCTGCCTGCTCCCCCAGCCCTCACCATGGCTGCCCACACTGCATGGGCAGCTCTGAACGAGCCCCCTCAACCCCCCTGCCCCCTCCTGCTCCCCCGGACCCCCATGGCTGCCCCGCCTGCCAGGACTCTGGCCTTTTAAGAAGAAAAAAAAAAAGCAGAGAAAAGCCCCTGGACTCACTGGTCCTTGTGCAACCTTGGGGCTTTGGGGGCTCGTGCAGAGCTCCCCACGTGGCGCGGGGCAGTGGGGATCACCCCCCGCCTGCAGCAGTGGTGAATCCCAGGGTTTCTTCAGGTTTTTTTTTTCTTCAAGGGCCGAAGCTGGCCCTTGCGGGGCACCCGTGATGGGGCTTGTGCAGAGCCTCATGCAGCGTGGGGATCGCCCCCCACCTGGCAGCACCTGCTGAGCTGGGGCTTTTTTTCCCCCCAAGTGCTGGGAGCTGGGGTAGGCGGGACAGTCATTGCTGGGCTGGAAGAGGGGCGGGGGATGGGCCTGGCCTGGCTGATTTGGAGATTCGGCTGTTGCCGAATCAAATTCAGCTGAATCAAATCAGGACAGTGATTCGAATCACCAAATCGAATCACTGTCCCCCAAATCGGTCAAATCTGAATCCGAAGCGAATACTAGCCACTTCACACAGGCCTACTAAGCAGCCAATTGACAGTGAATAAAAGCTATTTGGTTTCTACTCACTAGCAAACTTGCTGCAGTGGGACTTGGAAAAGTGTCTCTGGAAGCTGCAGCATTGTGAATGGTTCTGATTGGCAAAATTAGTTTCCCATTGGGGTGAAATGGGACCAAGTTCATGAATTCCTGGTGCTTTGTTCTGGGGTTGCAGTAATAACCATCAGAAGCAGGAGCCTGACAGCTGTTAGTTCAGCTGTGTTTTTCTTAGCTTGAGTTGGAGCAGTTCTGAGGGTCCCAGTGGATCAGCCAAGATGGTGCTGTCACATCCTGCACTCCAGTTTTGAGTTGCTCCGGGGCTGTCACTCACCTACATCCTCGTAATGATGCTCCAGGTCGCTTACAGCCATCACGAAGTCAGAGATATTCACTCGCCCTTCCTCTGTAATGAAGAGAGCCATTCAAGCAGAGGGCAGGCAACAGGGGCTAAAGGACACTGCATAAAGGGTCCATTGCATCTTCCCTGGGGAAGGTGAAAGGACCCTACTTGGTGGAAGGGTCATTATTCTGAAAACAGTGCTGCAGGATAGGGAGAAATGAGGAGGAGTAGGAAAAGTTACAGACTGGGTGTGATAAATTCACCAGACAAGGTTCTTTGGGTAAATGTGATATCTTTTATTAGACCAGCTAAATAGTTGGAAAAATTGTTCCTTACAAGCTTTTGGGCACAAACACCTTTCTTCAGGTATAGGGAAAGTCTGCTGGTGTGTGTGTGTGGTCTCCTGGGTGGAATAGAAGCTTAAGCCAATATGCAAAATGCAGGCCTGTGAAAATGCAAATGCATGGCAGGAAAGATCAGAGGGGATGTGAGTTAATAGGTGCAAGACAGGTAGATGGGGGGTGGGGGAAGGGGGGAATGTTGACCTGGTGATAGAATGTAGTTGGTCCTTAGACCAATATGGCTATAACCAACAACCCCAGACATTAACCAGACAGCTATTAGGCAAAGAACTAAGCCTACTAGGCACTGGCCAGTGACATGCAGGGGCAATTCCCTGATAGGAAATTCTGTTGTCTTCTTTGCTGTCTACTGTTGGAGGGGAAGAGGCTGGTACAGACAGAAGTGCAGCTGCAAGCTGCAACTCAGAACTGTTTCTGCAAAGCGTTCTGAGTTACAGTGTTACCCCAGACCAAACAGAAGTTCACTGTTGGCTCCAGGGAGGAGGGGAATCTAGCTGCAGCCAGGTTCCCATAGCAATGGCCATCGCCCTCTGTCAGTGCTCCCTGTTTTCAGAATGGGAGAGGGGAAAAGACATTGGAGGGAGCTTGTTTTTGGGGCTTCCCAGCCAGACTGAAGGGTGTGGTGGGTGAATTGGACCCCTCACTTTGCGGGGAAGGCTCCAATACACCTGCCCCACCCTCAGTGGGGGGTGCTGAAACCCCCCCCGGAGTGAACGCCCTCTGCTCCCTTTCCCCCTGTCCCATTCTGAAAACAGCAACAGGCTGGGAGCTCTTCAGACACAAGTTACAAAAGACAGTACATTTTGAAATGTCTTTATCTGATACCTCATGCAGTACGGGGTCAGATTTTCACCTGATCAGCCACTTTTGAAGCTGTCTGCAGCTGCGCACATGTGTTTGGTCACAGCCATAAACTGCTTTCTGTGGCCAGATCAGGTGAAAATTGTCACTTCTGTCTGTGTCCGATTCCTATCGGGTGTCTATCCCTCTAGAGGTTGCTTCCAGCCCATGTCCTCTCTACTGGCTATTGGAAAGGAGAAGAACCCCCACCTTCCTTCAGTTTGTTCCTCTCAGCGTGGGGATCGCCCCCCACCTGGCAGCACCTGCTGAGCTGGGGCTTTTTTTCCCCCCAAGTGCTGGGAGCTGGGGTAGGCGGGACAGTCATTGCTGGGCTGGAAGAGGGGCGGGGGATGGGCCTGGCCTGGCTGATTTGGAGATTCGGCTGTTGCCGAATCAAATTCAGCTGAATCAAATCAGGACAGTGATTCGAATCACCAAATCGAATCACTGTCCCCCAAATCGGTCAAATCTGAATCCGAAGCGAATACTAGCCACTTCACACAGGCCTACTAAGCAGCCAATTGACAGTGAATAAAAGCTATTTGGTTTCTACTCACTAGCAAACTTGCTGCAGTGGGACTTGGAAAAGTGTCTCTGGAAGCTGCAGCATTGTGAATGGTTCTGATTGGCAAAATTAGTTTCCCATTGGGGTGAAATGGGACCAAGTTCATGAATTCCTGGTGCTTTGTTCTGGGGTTGCAGTAATAACCATCAGAAGCAGGAGCCTGACAGCTGTTAGTTCAGCTGTGTTTTTCTTAGCTTGAGTTGGAGCAGTTCTGAGGGTCCCAGTGGATCAGCCAAGATGGTGCTGTCACATCCTGCACTCCAGTTTTGAGTTGCTCCGGGGCTGTCACTCACCTACATCCTCGTAATGATGCTCCAGGTCGCTTACAGCCATCACGAAGTCAGAGATATTCACTCGCCCTTCCTCTGTAATGAAGAGAGCCATTCAAGCAGAGGGCAGGCAACAGGGGCTAAAGGACACTGCATAAAGGGTCCATTGCATCTTCCCTGGGGAAGGTGAAAGGACCCTACTTGGTGGAAGGGTCATTATTCTGAAAACAGTGCTGCAGGATAGGGAGAAATGAGGAGGAGTAGGAAAAGTTACAGACTGGGTGTGATAAATTCACCAGACAAGGTTCTTTGGGTAAATGTGATATCTTTTATTAGACCAGCTAAATAGTTGGAAAAATTGTTCCTTACAAGCTTTTGGGCACAAACACCTTTCTTCAGGTATAGGGAAAGTCTGCTGGTGTGTGTGTGTGGTCTCCTGGGTGGAATAGAAGCTTAAGCCAATATGCAAAATGCAGGCCTGTGAAAATGCAAATGCATGGCAGGAAAGATCAGAGGGGATGTGAGTTAATAGGTGCAAGACAGGTAGATGGGGGGTGGGGGAAGGGGGGAATGTTGACCTGGTGATAGAATGTAGTTGGTCCTTAGACCAATATGGCTATAACCAACAACCCCAGACATTAACCAGACAGCTATTAGGCAAAGAACTAAGCCTACTAGGCACTGGCCAGTGACATGCAGGGGCAATTCCCTGATAGGAAATTCTGTTGTCTTCTTTGCTGTCTACTGTTGGAGGGGAAGAGGCTGGGACAGACAGAAGTGCAGCTGCAAGCTGCAACTCAGAACTGTTTCTGCAAAGCGTTCTGAGTTACAGTGTTACCCCAGACCAAACAGAAGTTCACTGTTGGCTCCAGGGAGGAGGGGAATCTAGCTGCAGCCAGGTTCCCATAGCAATGGCCATCGCCCTCTGTCAGTGCTCCCTGTTTTCAGAATGGGAGAGGGGAAAAGACATTGGAGGGAGCTTGTTTTTGGGGCTTCCCAGCCAGACTGAAGGGTGTGGTGGGTGAATTGGACCCCTCACTTTGCGGGGAAGGCTCCAATACACCTGCCCCACCCTCAGTGGGGGGTGCTGAAACCCCCCCCGGAGTGAACGCCCTCTGCTCCCTTTCCCCCTGTCCCATTCTGAAAACAGCAACAGGCTGGGAGCTCTTCAGACACAAGTTACAAAAGACAGTACATTTTGAAATGTCTTTATCTGATACCTCATGCAGTACGGGGTCAGATTTTCACCTGATCAGCCACTTTTGAAGCTGTCTGCAGCTGCGCACATGTGTTTGGTCACAGCCATAAACTGCTTTCTGTGGCCAGATCAGGTGAAAATTGTCACTTCTGTCTGTGTCCGATTCCTATCGGGTGTCTATCCCTCTAGAGGTTGCTTCCAGCCCATGTCCTCTCTACTGGCTATTGGAAAGGAGAAGAACCCCCACCTTCCTTCAGTTTGTTCCTCTACACATCTGCTTTTCCTTTCATGAACACTGATTTGAAACTGGTGCAGCTCTGTAGACTCCAGTGGAATCACTGCTCGTTTGCACTGGTGCAAAAGGGGGCTATATTCAGCCCTGTAACTCTGCCCTCTCTTTGCAATCTCCTAATTACTATATATAGAGATGCACAGGAGAATCACAGATCTCCCCTTAACTTCCTGGCTTCTGTGCAAGAGTGAGCAGGTGGTTTTATCACTACCTAGTGATTGTAGCTGAGAAGCTGTCAGGTCTAGCACCAGCTGCACCAACCTTCACTTCAGGGTCCTGGTAGCTGCAATAGACCTACAAGACCTTGCTCCTGCAGAAGGTGATCTTCAGAGCACATGGAGGTGGCATGCTGTTAGCACACACAGCTGCTCCTTCAAACAGGAACAGAGGGCAATTCCAGGTGCAGCACTCCCACCCTGTTCCACCTCTCAGACACTGGCCCTGGAGATCAAGGAAGCAGTGGCTTTGTGAAGCACTAAGCTGAGAGCCCTCACTTTGCTACCTGCATGGGGCTGGGAGGATTGGGCCCTAGAGACCAGAGTTTCATTATAAAGAGTCCCTCTCCACGCAGGGTCTGTATCCAGGTGTCAGAAGACAAGACACTCACTGTTGACGTAGACTTGAGCCATTGCCTCCTGCAGCTTCTCAAAGGTTAAGTCAACCACCAGGCTGATCAGAGTGGGGTGCAGGTCAGCAACAGCAATAATTCCATTCCTCATCTTGCTGAAGGCTCGGTGAATGACCTGGAAAGCTGTGTGGCAAGGACAGCAGGTTACTTCACTCTGTTAGAAGATGCAATGGTCACAGCCCACCCTCAGTGGTTCCTTTCCATAAGGAGGTTGCCAGGGTGTGCCCAGGCTAGCTCTGGCCAGAGGCTTATAATGGCCAACTTGCTGAAAGTGAAATGTTTTGTGGGAAATATCTGCCTCTGGGAAAACACATTTCAAGAAAAATCAGGAAGGTGAAGCTAATGTTTAGATTCTTTTGGGGACAGAACATTTTCATTTTCTACCTCAAATGACTTTTCATTCCAGTTTCAAATGCTACATAATAAATAACAATAGAATACTAAAAGTTGCAATCAGTACAAAACATTTTGATTTGATCGCAAATAAATATTTCTTAATCCTAAAACAAGTCTTTTTTTCATTTTGAAATATGAAATTCCCAAGAAATTTTGATCTTTCGTTTTTGTTCTACTTTAGAATGGGAGAAAGATCCAAATAGAGAGTATTTCTATAAAAAGAACAGCCTAGTTTCTGCCACGCTTGTCCAAACAGTGGCATATTCTTTAGGGCTTTATTTTCATGACTGAAGACCTTGACACTCAATTTGCTGCAGCTATGGGAAGTGGATCAATGTCTCACCTGCAGAGCTCTATCTTTTTTACACTATCATAGATGGTGAGTGTTGCATTTATCCAGGCACAAAGGGCCTCCATCTTTTACACCTAAGTCCATGAAGGTGCCCATGAGTCTACTTCTATGCTCAGGAGATGGAATAGAAGCTGGTCCCAGATGTCAAGATATAATTTGGTTGGTGGGATCCTGAGAAGAAAACTCTTGGTTACCTCCTCTAAGGGGACCATGACAGAACCCAGCTGTTACCAACTGTATATTGAGCCTAGTTAGGACAGGGCTTCATGCAGCATTCAGATTACCCTTGGAAATACAATGGGTTTGTTGTGGGGTGGGGAATGAAATCAAGCAAGAGTATTGGGATAGATTAGATAGGTAGATGGGTATTTAGATGGACAGACAAGACAGAGAGACAGCTGCAGAGAATGCTCTTCCTGTATCCTTGCCCGTAAGCCTTCTCTCTAGCTCCCTCCAACTTTCTTACTTACTCTCAGTCAGGGTGAAAGACGAGGTCTCATTCAGCACATCCAGGAAATTACTGAAGTTCAGGTTTCCATTTACTGCAAAGAGAAGAGCAGCTCAGACAGAGAAGGAAAGGAGAAAGCTGATGAGGAAAAGGCCGATTGCCTGCGATGTGCAACTCACTGTCAATGTCAACATCTTTGAGGGCCTCCCGCATCTCCTCACTGGTCACAAGTACCCCCAGCGTGTGCAGAGTCAGGAGCAGGTCATTGACATTAATCTCCCCATTTCGGATGGCACTGAAGATGAAGCAGGCTTTTGGCAACCCTATTATGAGCAAGGCAAGGGACAATGGGTTAAAGTGTGTGCCCACAGCTAGGCACCCTTATGGTACTTGGCCAGGATGCTGGCATGCCCCCACACACTCTCTTCAGCCTCTGCTCCCAGGAACTCTAGCCATGTCAGAGACAGGCTCTGGACTGCCATGTGGCACACTCTATGGAATCTGCATTTTACCAAGGAGGTCACAGCCCAGGCCCTGATGATCTCTTGCCTTGTGCCTAATATGCTAGATGCAAAAGATTACCAAATCCGATCTGGAAAAAAAAGACTAAGGAGGGAGGGTGGATTTGGTAAATGTTTTCAAACACCCGAATGTCAGTTATAAAGAGGATAGAGATAGAATATTCTTTGTGGTCACAGGGAACAGAACTAGGAGCAATGTCCTTAAATTGCAGCAAAGGAAATTTAGGTTGGAGATTAGAAAGAACTTTCTGACTATGAGGGTAGTTCAGGGTTGCAATAGGTTGCCCAGAGAAGTGGTGAAATCTCCATCCCTGGAAGTTTTCAAAAGTACCTTAGACAGACATTTGCTTGGAATGATTTAGTCAAGGATGATCGTGCCTTGAGCAGGGGATTAGACTAAATGACCTCATGAGGTCCTTTCCAACTTTACTATTCTGGATTCTATACAATCTGAATGGTGACACCCTCTGCTGGGGTGTAAGATTGGATACACAGTTGGTTAGGCTATTTATGGGACTTATCTTTGAAGTGATATAAAAGCCTGTGACCCTACAGCTGGAGCAGATCAGCTATGATTGTCCGGAGGCAGCTGGCACTCCTTGAAACTCTCTGTGTAGCCACAGAGATGGCAACAGAGAACACACTGTGTAGCCTGTATTTCACAAGAGGCAGTGCAGGCCAAAATCAGATTCCTGATGTAACCTCCCACTGACAATATGGATAATGCCATGATCTTAGGGGCTTGTCCCTGGTTTACATCTGTGTCAGAGTTCTGCACCTGAAGGGCAATATCAGGAGGTGGGAGTGTGCAAGTAGGGTGGCAATACCAGGGACAGATTGGAAAAGTCATTTGGGAGATGTGAGAGTGATTTCTGTTTGTTGGAGAGCTCCAGTGACAAGCAAATAATCTTGGTGCTCACTGCTATCTCGTTACTGCAGAGGGAGCTTGAAATGTCTTGACTTCAGACTGTTTCTCTTGAGTTAGCTTAGCCCAAGCAAGAGAAGCCATAGAGAAATGATATGTATTGCATGTAGTAGCTGAGTTAGCAGATGACAAGTTATGCTAATACTGGATGTCATCTACATGCCTGGATGTGTATCATGCCTGAGCAAAAAGCATGTGTGCATGGCAGCACTTAAACTAAGGGCAACAGTGGGTGCTGTCATGTGCAACTCCCTGCTGTAACTCAGCACTTTACAGAAAGCGCCATGAGTTACAGTGACCCCTCTTACCCAACAGATGTTTGGCTGGGGGAGGGGAGAGGATCAAGCTCTGCTTTGGAGCTGATCCAGCAGAGAGCGGCAACGTGTGCAGCCTCTCCGCCCTAGCCCCCTCCTTCCGCCCAGCTTCAGTGCTGTCTGCATGATGGGAGGGAGCTCCTTTCTGGGGTTTGTCTAACCTGGGCTAGAGAGGGTGTGTGGACTGAAGCCAGGGTACAGCTGTAGAGTGCTTTCAAGGGGCTGATCACATGACACACATCACCTCTGTCAGCACCCAGTTGAGTTATTACTGGAAGGAACGGTTATTCTCTAACCCTGCTGTTACTAGTCTCTCTGATATGATCTCAGCTCTGGAATGAAAATCTGTGTCTGTGATATAAACAGCTCCAGTGAATGGGTTTGGGTTACCTTCAGCTTTCTGCATAGTCCAGGCCTCCATTTCCCCAACTTCATCATAGAGATTCATGTAGAGATTGTACAGGACTTTACTCTTCCTGTCAAAGAATTGGACAGACAGGGAGTCTCAGTGCAAAATTTCCATCCCTCTCTTCAGGTGGGGCTAAATGATCCCAAGAATCTGACCTCAGGTCTAAAGTCTCAGGGTTTGACCTCCACATGGACAAGCACAAAGTGACCAGAGGCTGGGCAGCCTTTCTGCCAGATGCATGCCCACCTTGTACCTGATGTAACTCCCTGCAATTCCACCCCTCTAGATCATTTCCTCCCGAGCCTCTGCTGAGTTGCCTAAGGAAGGAGCAAGCAGGGCCAGCCATGGGGAAGCATTGTGTGGATCTCTGTCCCCTAGCAATTGAACTCACTGTTGCATGGCTTGTTCCTGCACCACTGGAGAGTTCTCCCATTGGCTTGCACTAGAGTGGAATCAAGCTCGTGCTGTGAAGAGGCCATCACATGGTCATAAGATCTTTTGCCTTCTGCTGACACCCCCCTCCCCAATACCACAGTGTCCAAGGCAATGGGTTAAGCCTTTCTGCTGCTAGACAACCCAATGCATTGCCCAACACAAAGCACAGGCACAAAGCATTGCAGGAGGCTTTCCCTAGTATTTCCCTGGACCATCCACACCAAAGTGCACCCAGTGAGATGTGGACCTTGCATTGGAATCATCAGCCAAGACCTGCCCTCTTGAGCTGAGCTATTCAACACAGAGGTGCAGAGGACATGGTCAATGGAAAAAGTTTATGCTAGTGTAGACTCCTAAGCTCACGGAGCCAGTGTGACTCCCCTCTGAGTGCAGGGGCAGAAGTCTGACACTTCCCTATACCTGTGTGCCTTGGGGAAGCTCTGCCGGGGGGAGGTGGAGGCAGTGCTCATGCTTTTCTTCTTTTTGCTCAGTGCTGCCCGCTTCAGCATCATCTCAAAGGAAGGGGTGATCTAGAGGCCGAGGGCAAGAACATGTTAAAGGTACCCCAGTGCCTGTCAGTTTGAAGAGGAGCTGCACTGCAGAGTAGCCAGACCTCTATCAACAGTACTCTCCCCCTCCTCCATTTCCCACCAGGAGCGTGGCCGGCTGTTATTCCAGTGACCTGGACAACACACTGCAGAACTGTGACCACAGCATGGACAGGGGCATTGTGGGGGTTGTGGCTATGTGTACCAAGACAGGGAACACATGCATACAGTGCCAGGCATTGCCTTGTGGAGATGCATTACACTGGGCCCTGCACACACACGCTACTCAGAAGGAAGTTGTGTGGTTTTAGAAGCAAGGACTGGGCACATGGATCCACCTCTCAGCCAAGCATCTGGCTTTGTCCACTGAGCCACACTTCCACTGGTTTGGGAGCCTGTGAGCAGTGCCTCAGCAAAATCCTACCTGGAGCTGCACAGCACCTGCAATGGCATCCTGGTGGTGGAACATTGCCAGGAAAGGACTGGTGCCTTGAGGAGGTGGGGTGTAGTTTGATGGGCAAAAGCTCACGGTTTTACTGATAGGGGTCAGAATGGGCTGGGGGTAGGGAGAAGGGCAGTGTATGGCCAGTCTTAACTCACAGAGCTTTGTAATGCAGACTAGGCTGAGACGTTCCCAGCATGTTTCCAGATAGAGCTTGAACCAAGGTCTTCAACATCTGGCAGTTTTAGCTATACCAGCTAGGTTTAAGTGGCAGCCCTTAGCTCAGCCCAGGCTCCATTATAACGGTATAAATACACTTATACCTGTATAGCTATTCCTTTACGGGGAGGGGGAGCGGCACCAGCACTGGCACCAGGGAAAGGCCCTTTTAGACTGACACAGATGCTTTCAAACTAGGTCTTGTCCTGCTTTGATCCAATCTCATGCCTTCACTATTAGGGCTATCCTGGCTCTAGATTGGTGTGAAAGCCAGGGGAAAGAGGAGATGGGGAAGAAATCATCACAGAAAGGATGGCAGAAAAAAACAGTGATAGAGCCCCTGGAGGGTCTGAAGGAAAGTGTGCTGTGTACCATTCGGGAAGTCAAATTCATAATATATATGCATACATGTGTGATGTGTGCACTTGTGCATGTCTGAGCAGGTGTGATTGGACAGACAGGTATGTATACATACACAAGCAGGTTGCTGGGTGCATGCAGCCAGCAGCGGACTTATATGCCTGTGCATATGTTCACATACATAGAAGTGTACTGATTTTATCTGTTCTTACCTCAGTTGCTTTGTCTGTCTTTGGCACTTGCCTGCGTTTTATGCAGCTTACTGGTGATGCCTGTTCCGTCAGCAAGAAACTCCTTGTGGCATCATGCCTGAATCACAGGAAAACATCCATGCGTTAGGGGCTGGGTTTGATTTTTTGCCTCAGGGTCTCCTTGTTTGAGAGCCTGGCTGCCTTGCACTACAGATAGCTCCAGGCAGAGGCACTGGTATCAAATGTGCCCAGACCTTAGGTGAGTTTGGCTTAGAGTCATGGTGCTGTGCTGAGGACCTGGGCCTGAGCCTAAGCCAGACCCCCAATCCAAGGAGCCCTAGGCTGTGACAGAGATTCTTCCCGACTCCATTGTGACCTTTTCTGAGTTGTCACATCTCCCTGGCCTGTTAAGCCCTTCCTTGCAGGCCAGGTTGGTGGCCTTCTGTGGAAATCCTGCATGGCGGAAACTTGACCCCTCCTGCACCCCAGGCTCAAGCTAGAGAAACTACCCTGAAGCCAATAGAGCTCTTTGAAGACATAAGCTTGCACAGCTGAGCTCAGTGGATTAACTGGTCACCAAACCAAGCTCTACTTTCCCTCCCCCTCCTTCCACATCCCTGAGTCCAAAGCACTCTGCTGTATGTTGGGACCATGTTGCAGTGTGGTGCAAGTAGTTCAGATTGGTGGTGTCCCAAGGCTCAGTCAGGCCTGGGGGATCATGAATGCCACTGCTCTGACTTGAGTGGGGAGGACCTGCCCCTTTAGCTTTAGCAGAAGGGGCTTGGGCGTTTGGTGTTGGGGCCCCACACTTGGTTCTGGCTAGTTAGCCACAGTATCTGTGGTTTGTAGTGAAGCTCCAAGACAGCCTGTGGTCGGCCAGCTTCCAGGGCAGACATAAAGCATGTGTAGGGGGTATGCCTATATCAGTGACCTCCATTTTGGGTATGGGGTGAACACATAGTGAAGTTAATGTTCTGTCTCTCAGATTGCCTTGCTCAGGACAGGTGCCTGGTGCTTTGCTGAAAGGACACCCCAGAGCATTGTGGAGTCATCAGTTCTGGCCGTCTCTACTGCTGGCACAACCTACGGTAGCACCAACTCAGAGGTGGATCAGCAGGTTCTCTGCTGGGCACACTGTCAAAGAAGAGAGGTAGTGTCTGAGAAGATGTGCTTTTCTGTGCATGGAGGAGGCCACTGATTACCAAAAAAATAGGCATTACATGAGGCCCAGAGTGGCAGGGGATGAGCCCCATTGTCTTCCTTCCAAGACTTCTATTACCTATGGGTGTGAAAGCCACACCAACTTCAAGGGCAGATCTGAATGCAGGATGTGGCCCACTAATAGGACCTTGTTGCTTACCCTGGTTTGCATAGAAACAGACCCATAAGACTGCATATCCTCTACCAGATACTTGTGGTACTGGCACTACGGGGCACCTATACATATGCCGAACATCTGCTCCAACAGGTGCTACTTAGCACGCATTGGAGCAGATTTGATTAATTGAGTCTGCTGGAGCATGCTAATTACCACACTCCAGCAGCCTCCATGTCACGTGTATTCAGTGTCCCTTTACTTCAAAATGGTGGTGGGGGCACTTTAACTAAAGCTCATCGAACAAACTTTAGTTAAAGTGCTCCCACTTCCATTTTGAAGCATGGGATGCTGAATACATGTGACACTGTGGGTACTTTAATTAGAGTGACTCCCTCCACCCCAGAGCATTTGTAAAGATGCCCATGGTTTCCTAGGTGAGGGCTTTCCAATAGCGGCTCCTGGAACCAGACACTTTGCTTGAACAAAAAACTTCTGCTGGGTCACCTGCTACTCCTCCTACTTCTTCCACTAAGGCCTCAACATTGGTGTCCAGGAAGGGCTGGGCTGAGGTATATGAGGCAGTTGCTGCTCCAGGTGCCTCAGGACATGCTGCTTGCACTTACTCTGGTGTTGTGCTAGAGGCTCTGGGCTGCTCATGTGCCTTAGCAGCTGGGAAGGCTGGCGGATGTTTCTTCCTCTCTGTTGATCTATGGTTTGAGGGCTGCTTCCAGGCTTCTATAACTGAGGAGAAGCGTGGCTTCTGTGGGGTTTTCTGGTCTGGCAGTTTCCAGTCCTTCATATTCTCCCCAGACAACTCTTATGACTCTTTTGATCAGCTATAAGGGGTAAAAACCAAACGCACCATGAACACGGCTGCCTGCATTTCAGCCTCTCCAGGATGCTGCTGAGCTCTAGGCTCCTTGATGGTTCAGTACAGTGCAGGAGAGGCACCACCCCTTTGAGCCCTGATAGGACATTGCACCAGGGAAGTAGTCTGCTCTCAACCAGGGTCTGATGCCCTGCTGGCAGGGAGATCAGATGAAGTTTGGGACCAGGACAGTCAGGAGGATATGGGGGCCTGTGCTAGTAAGTTCATGGATGGGCAGAAAATCTCCACTGGTTGTTAGCAGGAGGGAGTCTATGGCACACATGTGAGCTGTTCATATCCCATCCTGTAGAGAGCAGCGGGAGTGTGCAGGCCCACACAGGCCCATGAATAGTAATTTTGCTTTTAGTAAGCCAGCAGAGATCTTAGCTCATTAACCCAGGGACCAAGGACTCTGCTCATTGCCAGTCAGCAGAACTCTAGCAGGCCATTTACTTCCCTTGAACATACCAGCTTCTCACGTGGGTTTCCAATGGCAAGTCTGAGCAGGGCCTTATTACAAGGACTGACAACTTTCAGTCACATGCACAGGTGGGCCCAAGGCATCAGAGTCCCTCCCATCACTGAATAGCACAGGTTCAGCCAGGGGGTACTCCAGGCTCTGCCTGTCACTGGTACTTTGATGAATAATCCTCTTTTCTGTTCCTTACTGACAAGTCTGGTCTCCACTTTATTCTGTGGGGCCTGATGGGCTGAAGGCTTCTCCCAGTATCCTATACCCATGTATGCTCTACCTCCTGCCTTATCATGGTTCTGCCAATTACTCCAGGCCCTACTGGAGCCTTTGCCTTTGTTTCTACCCAACTCTCTCCTGCCAGCTCTGCCTTAGTGGCCTCACTCACCTCTATTCCAGTCTGGAACTCGCTCCAGATGGACTGAAGGGAAGTGGAGGGAGGGTTTTCCTGCAGTAGGGATCTGGTAAGAACAGGAAGATATGAGGCCCATTACACTGTTTTCATTGCTGGAGAAGGTTGGCTGCACTCAGGACCCAAGGGCAACAGACTGAAAGACAAGGTAGTATGTAGAACAGGGATTTGGAATTTCAGACAGGGTCAAATTGTGCAATGGTAAAAAGTGGCTGGCATAGGAAGGGCTACAGGTGCTTGGAAACTGGAGGTTTCACTCCAAAAAATGGGACGGAAAACAGCACATTAGGTATGCTGCATGTCTGTGCATGTGCCAGCTGAGCTAGTTGGTGGTGCTTCAGAAACCACTTTCCCCATTCATTCCAGTAGGAGACGTGGGCTTTGCTGCCACCTTGCCCTGATGGCATTTACTGGCTGGTGTTACCTGCTGTACAGAAAATTGTGATGGGCAGAAAATATTGGTGGTGCAGTCCCTGCTCCTGCAATTGCATCTCTAGCTAAGAACCTGCAATGGTAGGGGGTCTGTTTGCAGAGCAGGGTCCTTAAGCTTTGAGCTCTTCTGCGGGGGTCTCTGTGGCAGAGTTTTGACTGAGGTACATGGTCATACAGCCCTATTTGCATTTCTGAAGTTGGATGCTGTGGGCCTTGGTTTAGATCTTTCTATAAGAGCTCCAAGGGTCATTTCACTTTGACAGAGCCCAGTCTGTACATGCCTCCCATACAGAAGATACACGATTTGTGAAATCAACCAAGAAGTCATTTAGTTTTAGCAGAGTATCCTCGCTCATCAGCAAAAACCCCCAGCATGCTGCTCTTAAGGATTTGTGTGGAAACCAGTAACTCAGCTTCACCAAGCTGTAATAGCTCCCAGGTCCTTGCACTCTGCCTTGGGTGGTGCTGCTACACAGGCACCAGGAACTGCTGGAACAGAATGAAGAGACTATTTGGAAAATAAAACAGCTCCACCTGCCTGTGCCACACAGCCCAGGTGGCTGGTCACTGACAAGCACGGTGCCTCAGCCCTGCTGCAGACAGACCCTCAAGGCTCACTCAGCAGGAGGCCAGTTCCCAGGGGAGATGTAATGGCTCCATCTTGTGGCCAGATGGGCAAGTCATAAAAAATGAATCCACACAACTGTATTTCAAGGAGTTTCCCCATTCTTTTTATACATTTAGGCCTTGATCCT